TTAGTTATTACTATGAAATTAACGATAGGTACACGGGTGTACGATACTAAAAATTAACCATTGGATTATTCAAATTAAAAGTGAAGACTGAAATGAAAGTATGAAACTGAAGAGATTATAGTACTATAGTAGACTAAAAAGTGGTAAAGTAGAAATAAAGACTACCAAATGATAAATTTTTAACGGACTAACGGTTTGTCTTTGTACTTTACACTTTATAGCTGCGGGTCGAGGTCACGGGAAACACGGTTTAAACCGCAACGGCGGTTACGTTTGATGTTTGTATTTCATTATCGTCTTGTTATCACGCATTCCTTTATCACGATAAAAAAATAACAATAAATGATACTTTAATACAATAAATTGGCTCGGTCAATTTAGTTTTCTCTGTTTGACATTTTTTTTWAATTTTTATTTCATTTTATTATCCTTTTAAATTTAAATTTAAATTTATTATTATTATTTTGGAATTACAATGGTTTAAACAGGTCAAAGGCATTTGTTGTTTTAACAATGGACTCGTCTAGTGGGCAGTGTAATCAGGAGACTGACACATCCCTGTACAACGAAGAGGATAGTTTAGACCCTAGAATTCAAGTAATGATTGATTTCATAGTGAGTTATAYGGATAAAATATATTTATTTATTTGTTTTAAGCTGGAACTTGAAAAATTGAATTCATCAACAGATAATATAAATAAACTAGAAATTGAATTAGATGTAAGTATATGTTCATTTAAACTAAATTATCTAACAGTTGACATATTATTATATCTTATTTTGATGTTTCGATACATGCATCAATTGCATTATTAAATTAGGTTTGATCTTTGATGTATAATACAATATTATGTTGATATGTTCATTTATTTTTAAAATGTAAATTACAATTATTAGAATAATGTAAACAAATAATAATAAATATTTGAAATTTATAATACCACTCTATTTTTATTAAGCCTAACAACCTATTATATTTCTATTAATCGATTATATTACAGTTAGTTTATGTTATGCTTGTTATTTTATATTATTAATCTCCTTTATTTAATTTGATTTATTTAGTGCTAAATAATACATTTTATACAATATTTAATAATTTAATTTAATTATGGAAAAACAAAACATAAATTATTTTATGTTTTAACTTATATTATGTTTTATTATGTTAGGAGGCAAATACAACATTTAGAATGTTGATGGCTGAAGCTTCTAGGAGATTGAAGGTACGAGCTCGCAAACTAGGTTCGTGTATTGATAAAGCTCGACCATTTTATGATGCACTTAATATGTCTAAACACGCTCAGCAACAATGTCAAATCGCTGCTGTAAAATACCAACGAGCTAATGGTAAGATCAACATTTTTAAAATTTAATTTTTTTTCCGTAGTATAAATCAATATATATTAAATAGAAAATAAATGTAGAAATATATTTTTAATATGGAATTATTAAAACATTTTTGTATTTAATAGGGATTATTTATTTTTTCTAATGTACAAAAAAAAAAAAAATAGTAATATTAGAGTTCATTGGTGAAATAATATATATATATAATAATATATATAAATCAATTTGGCTTAAAATTTAAATTGAGTATTAATAATAAATTATCTTTCCAAACATAATTATATAGGATTGTGTTATATTTTGTTCAAAATCAGTGGCATTGCTTTTTTTAATGAAAATAAGTCCACTATTTTAATTTTTTAATATTATTAAGTATATTGACATAAAAATTTAAGGGATGTTTCTTTTGTTGCTCTGATTAACATTGACATAATGTGTATAAACATAATAATACATATTATAATTAAATTTAACTGTTTTAATAAGTTGTTTAGGAATTCAATTGTAGGCATGTAAAATGAAAATACAGTTGTTTAAGTTTTGTTACTATTAGTTATTTTGTCTTACCTATTATTTACAAATAAGTATCTACATGACATAAAATACAACATTTTTATCTATACCTATTTGAATTTATAAATACAAAGTTATAATATTATGTTAAATATTAAATATTCATATTCAAATTTATTTTATTGTATATCTACATATTTTTTCTTTAAGCTTATAATTATTGTATACATACCAAAAGCTTGAATACTGTAGTACTTAACTGTGTGATCTGTTATATTATAATAATATGCACTAGAGAAATAATATTGATCCTTACAATATTGGTTTGTGTACTGTACATTTTTTAAAATCAATCAATAGAGTATTTCAAACAAGAGACTTTTCAAGTACATTTTAATCTTATCATAAATATTAGAAAAAAAAAATTTATTAATAATTCGTAATCTAATCGTTAAACCTTCTTTAGTTGACTTGTAAAATTATATGTAATATATAATATATTGTCTTAAATATATAAAATATTTACATTCTATGTTTGGTATATTCAATTTTCTAGTTAAAATTGAAAATAAAAAATATATTTCATGAAGATACTTTTATTGCACTTTACTCATTTAATAATGTTTCTGTTAGTTATTTTATATATGTAAATAATTTTATATCCAAAAAAATAAATGTGTCAACTCTATTCCTTTATAATATTGATGAAAGAATCCATATCTCGTATAACTAAATTTATTCAATTATCTATAATCAATCAATTGAAGTTATTCTAATGAATTATAAATTCCAAAGTGGTTAGAAATTAAATGTTCCGAAATCAATTAGACACTACTAATTATGAATTATGGGCTAGAATTTAATAAAATCAGTTACTTGAAATATAATTTTAAAACTGATTTATTCTGTATTTAATTTTTTGTTTCAAGTTTAAAATATAAATAATTTCTAGTTATTTTAAAAATATTTCATCTTTTTGGTTTTTGAGATTTCTTCTCATTTGTTATTTTATTAAAGCAAACTATTATAAAGCTATTAAATTTCTCAATACTATAAAATAAATTACAGTTTTATTAAATTATGTGCATAATTATGAGTTAAAGATATTTTTTCTTTTTACTATACAAATAAAATGTATAATAAATTTTAAAATACATAATATTTATAGTCTTAATTATTGTGTTGTATATAAAATTGTATTTCATACATTTTAGAAATTCATCAAGCTGCTAAAGAAACTGTGGCATTAGCTGAGGCACGGTTTCTTAGTAAACAACATGAATGGAAATTTGATAGTGCGTGGCAAGAAATGTTAAATAATGCTATTTTAAAGGTATTTTAATGTAATGAGAACTAGTATTCATTAATACTTAACCTATACATTATTCATAGAGTATTGTGTATTATTATTATTTCTTTTACCTTTTACTGTTACTTTTGCAAATTGTAATTTTAATGACCTTTTATATAAATWATCTTTAACATTATTAATTTATAGGTAACAGAGGCAGAAAATCAAAAGACTGAAAGTGGACGCGAGCATCAAAGAAAAGCTGCTCTCTACCAAGCTGCTGAACAAAAGGTATATTTGAAATATTGATTCTTATTTACTTAAATTAAATATTTAAATTATGTTTTATTTTAGGTTCAAATGTTGGAGCAAAAATTTAAGCGTAGCATTATTAAGTCACGTCCATATTTTGAAGAAAAATATTTATGTGAAGGTCAATTAGCAGCACAAAAAGATACTATTATTCAAATTCGATATGCTGTGCAACGAGCTAAACAAGAATATTCTGCATGTTTACACAGACTTGAACAGATCTCTGAAGAAATTCATGTTCAACGACAAAACAACAAACTTATGGTATTTAAATTTTTTTCCAACATTTATCTAAATAATGTATAAAAAAATGAACCAATATTAATATATTTCTTCAACAGGAATGTTCGTTGCAAGGTCCGCGAGAACCCGGTGTTGGTGCTGAAGTTTCTTCTATGGTGAACAGCTGGCAAGAGCTAGATAACAAAAAGGATGTCAATGGCATGGAAGATATAAATTTAGATTGGAATTTGGATAAATGTGATTCAAGAAGCCTGGGTAGTCTATCCATGGATACTAGTTCTATTTTGAGCGATGCAGATGACTTAGATTTTGATGACGATAGCCAAGTGACAATGGTATATAAATAATATTTTCTATAAACCATATCTAGGTWTAAAGTTAATAATTTTATTTTGTTTTGATTCATTTCAGGAACTGGAACAGCTTCGTCAAAAAGTACGTGATCTCGCTACTAAACCATTAATGATGGAATGTAAAAGAACTGAAGAGGTTGAAGGCGTGGAAGATCGCAAAGGTTGGGAAAGTGAGTTAAATGCTACTGTTGACAAATTGGATCGAATGATGTTGAAACAGGAGTGTGAAAAATCCCAACAGCAATCACCCGTTTAGTACATGATTAGTGTAAATCAAAATTTGTTAGGCTTTCTATGGGCCAAGAGAGAAAATGTTTACCTGGGATGGGAGATTAAATTGTGCATGTTATTCTTGTCTCAATCTTTGTTATATTTTCTTGTTCTTGTTGTTAAAGTTCATTTATCGATTAATATTAATTTCTCACTTATTTTTTTCCTATTTGGAAATTGTAAAACAAGGTAGCTAGTAACGAGCACAATATCATTTAATCCTATTGTAACTAAATTAAGATTGTAGGTAACTTTATGTTAATTGGCTGTATGAATCAATGTGGATGTATATTTGTTTATAGTAAARCAATAATGTTTTAAGTATTTTAGTCTATTGTAAATATTTATTATGTTGCTAACTAATTAATGTCATTAATAATTAGCTAGGAACTAAAAACAACAACTTGATTTTTGATAGCAGTAATTTATTTAAAATTTTGTTCCATTACAGAGTTAATGTTACCCAAATGACAACAAAATTAAAATATGTATGTTTTTTTTTATTTTAGTTCATTATATAGTATAATTTCCTAATGCCATTCTATTTTATTTATATTTTTTTTTCTTAATATATAACTTATTTTTATAAATGAATTTTAAATATAACATTGTTTATAATTATTATGAAAAAAAAAACATTATTTAATATAATATATAAATATCTTATGTATAAAACATGTTAAATGATAAAGTAATCTATGATGGTCCAACAGTCGATTTATATTTTCATTCTTTATTCTTCCAATATTTTCTTATCTTTTCAACATAAACTTAATTGTAATGTCTTCGTGCTCCTCTTGATTCTAAAAGTACAAACATTTTAGTGTTTCAAAATATTATTGGTTCTATTACTGAAATATCAGTAGATGTAATTTCTACTACAACGCTTAATGCTTATGGACAATATTATGTAAAGTCGGTATTACACTGGTTTGTCATTGGTTGATYGACAAATCATAGATTCATTAGAAATTTATAGATTTTTGTTGATCAACACAAAGTGTCAATTAATTGATTTTGAACAAGTGTTATACCGTTTTTATAATTAACATGAAATTTGGTAGGAAAATATTAAACAATGCTATCATGTTGAAAAATAAGTGTTTCTAACATAAATTAAATTACCATATTATATGTACTATAATTACTTATATCATTGAATATAAATAGTATTTATAATCAATGATAATATACATATAATTTAAATAGATTGAGTAAAAACTAGTATTTTTAAATTCATTATTTTTTTWAAATTTTAATCTACAAGTTAATACCTCTTTGCCCACTAAATATTCACAATTGTCTTMGTAGTGTACTGCAGTAGTCTGTACAATAAACAGATAAATAAACACATAACTATAAATACAATACCTATTCTCTCCATATTTTTGTATGGTACCTATGCTATTAATTTTGATATAAAATTGATTTTTTAATATAATTTTCTTGTGTACTATTAATAAAATATTTGAATATTATGTGATATAAAATTCTATGTTTTCTATAGATTTAATGATGATGTMAGTACTTAGTTTAATCTATAAAATATTCTATCTAACTATATAGAACATATAATATTTGTGTTTAAAAAATATTGAATCGCATATTATATTCAGTAAATAAATTAACATAAACAGAATCATTAAACAATACCTACTCGATGATATCACCAACATGGAAGCTAGTAAACATAACATTATTTACCTCCTACTCGGCTTATATAATACTTGGTATTTGAAACCTAATGGAATAGTGCACAACTTCATGAAAAAGTAACACATATAAGGCTTAAACACTTATGATGCCATTACTCATTAGTTATTCAATACATCTATATGACATTTCCCATTTCATTAACATGTTTTATCAAAATAAGGATAAAATAGTCTGTTAACGTTTTAATAATATATTTAGATAAAAAACTATACCATGCAAGATGCTTTAAATTTAAATAGGATAKGTATGGGGAAWATTCTACATTTCAAGTTAATCATAATCCCTTTTAWAATATAACAAAATTATTTTGGAATTTGTCGATCACCATTATAAATAATTGGCGAGGGCCACTTATAAGTTTTAAAGCATTGATAATTTTTAAATTATAACACAAAACCTAAAAATATTTAATGAAAAACAGGTGCGTTGTTGGCAGTAATTTGATTGTTTTTTCAATACACACTAGAAGATATAGGTGCTACTCATATAAAACTATATAAAGATAAGACTAAAAAACCATTTCCCTGCTCCTTAGAGTATAATATTATGTTCACCACAATTCCTACCGGAAACATCATGATTTAGAACGATGTTGATCGGCAAAAAATCATTACCAGCAAAAGTTTTCATTTAAACTAATCTTGAGAAAGATTAAAATTATTTTTTATCACGTAATTTTATAACAATAATCGTTTTAATCTGACAACAAATTTGTTGTTTTAAAAAAAAAAAAAACTATTTTTGAAGTGTTATTGATTATAATTTATAGCCCGCGGTATTATAATATAATATATATATATATACGTCATATGTCTAATGTCTGAGATACTTCAATAGTTGGGTGTTTGTTTACCATGGCGTGACGTCTTTGAAAAGTATACCTAATAATAATCATCACCTGAACTCTGTTTTCTGACGGTGTTCGATGCCATCATCTTGCGACACTGTTCGTCCTCCATGTCTGTCAAGAAATGAACGGGAGTCATGGCTTTCCTGGACGCTGATGACTTGGCGGATGTCAGAGGAAGCGTCTGTTGATTGGATATGTACGAAATTTCTGGGGGAAAAGAAACATCAATATTTTTTATTTGATTATGGAACCATAAACACTTGTCCGGTCGTTATTTTTCGGTAGTGATAACTATTTACAGACAAAGCAATAGGTACTGTATAAGTATAAATCAAAAATTTTCGTAAAACGTATTTTATTTTTGATCCTATAGCCTATAGGTATTAAAAACGTAAGTAACGTTATAAATATCGTCATACCCATGTGTTAAAAATACTTTATGAAACTGAATCTGTCCGAGAGAACACGGAATTTTTCAAAACAATTCTATGGTTTAGCTCCTAAGTGATTTTTATTATTAAAAGCATATATTATATATATTAAGGCGTAACGGAAAGACCTGACAAAAAAAAATTGTTAATTCAACTTATGACAAAGATTGTAAATATTATATGATAAGTAAATAATTTAAGAAATATACTCATTACTCATGTCTGAAAATTCTCAAAAATCATATTTTTWAAAAAGTTATTACGTTCTAAATTAATTTAACTAAAAAATATTGAATTTTGGAAAAATTCTAAAAAATAAACTTCTTGACTTAGATACATCTTTTTATCATAAAATTTGTTCTTATAATCAGATTCACAAATAGGCTATTTTAAATTTATCGGAAAATTGTTTTATTAAATTTTTAGTACTAAAAAATAAACATAAAAAATGTATTATACATGTAGCGCTAGAGAGTCATTTAATGAACAAAAAAATAATTAAATAAATAAAAAATATTAATTTGAACAAAAGTCAGTTCTATTTGTTACACCTTGTATACTATATAGGTACCGTGTGTTTACCAATTTAGGGAACACTAAATTTCTAGGCCGGATTATAATGGAATAAATAGAATTTTCTTTTACTAGCCAGAGGTATATAAATACACATTTTCAGATAAATTTCAAATAACCAAAATTGATTGAATGAGACCCATTCAAATCTTAATAAAATAATACATTTTTACAKTTCATTATAAAATGCATAAAACCATTTATAATTATTTATTATTGGTTACTTTTTGCGTATTTTTTTTTTAATATACGTATTATAAATAAGATTAACATAATATATTGATATGGATATAAAATTATTTAATTAAAATTGATACGTTTGTATCTTTACTAAAAGCATAATTGATATCAAAACAATGATGATTGCATGATTAATTTTAATATCTTATTTTTCGACGATTTGATTGTCTTGCTTTCAAAAGTAGGTACTATGTAATTATTCAAATAAAACGCRTAGTTGAGCTAAGTGGCCGGTACCTGTAGGCTATATATTATCATCATCATAGATTTTTAAAACATGTAAAAAGTAAAAATATTATTCGATATATTAAAATAATATGGATGGTGAATAAGTGTACATTCAGCGATCATCTCACTCACCGTAGGACTTGTCATTTGGCATACCGTGGACGACRTTGTGGTCGGGCGTTTCGTAACAATCAGTCTGGCTCAGGGCCCTGTGGTGTGTGGGCGTCCGGCTTCCGGACGGTGCCGTTTGCATCACGCTGAAAGTGGCGTACGGACACACGTCGTAGTCGATGCTCTTGCCGCCTCCACCGCCGCCCATGAACATCATTTTGTCCGCGGAATCGTTCCTTTTTCTCCTTTGCAGCGTGGACGTCGCGTACTCGACCTGCTTGTCGGCCTCGTAACTGCACTTCCGCTCGGCCGAACTGCTCGCCCTCCTCCTCCGCGAGTACTGCGCTCCGTCTTTTTTCCTGTCCAAAGCATACGCGCCCGCGCGGTCGTCAGTAACGAAATGCAGTAATATACGTTTATACATCCGCTTCCGGTATGGGGTGGTAATCGCGGTACGTGGTCACTGGTTGGGTTACTGGTTAGAAATTATGCAGGTAGATACGTAACATACGCGCAACATATTYCTCACTGTAAGTCGTAGAAAATCACCCGATGTCGGCTTTACCGTTTGATTTTAGAATATTATWTTTCAAAAGTTAGCTTGCAGTGGTCCAGCGGTGTCGATGTTAAAAGTATCTAGGTACCTACTAAATAAACCATGTCWWTACGAATAGATATCCCTTATTGTATCGAGATTTTCAGACGCCCATATCGCTTTCATGAAATCTCAAAAATATTTTCAAGACATGAACCATGACGTCAAATCTAAATAGGGAATTTTTCGAGGTTCATACCCACTTTGTCGAATTCCAATTCACCCACAACTCAGTTTGCCGACATATATACCAGTTTTAAAATACTTTTTAAATATTCCCTTTTTTTCGACAGTCTAGTCTGTCAACGTCTCGGTTCACCGACAAATTTTATTAGTACGTTTCAATTTTCCCGATTCGCTGACAGTTGCAKATTGATYCATAATGATTTTATCGAAAACGGATAAGATTGCGATATTATTATGTTATGTTATCAATATAAGTTCAACGTTTAAACGTCTAAATATCCTAACCTATTTTTATTTTTATATAATATATCTACTGACATCATGTATTGATAACCATTTATGCATGACAAAGTTGTATTTACTTTAATTTTTTAATAAGTCAGCGAATTGGGATTCGGCAAATTGGGTTTCGGYGACGTGGGCAGTCACGTTTTATGATGGGGTAAAGAAAAGTATTTATTTGGAACTGGGAGATTTATTCGCTATTCGCCATTATATTAACAATCTAAAAACTAGGAAGTCAATAAATGAATGAAGTAAGAGTAACCAAGTTTTTCCTTAAATACACTCCAAATTTTCTCTAAAACGAATAATATTTTCGATTACATCGCTATCGCAAGATTTCAGTAACTTTTATTGATCGGTATAACTTATTAGATATATTATAATATTTTTATTTGTACAAATCAACCGTAATAACGCAATAGACACGAGCCCACGACGGATTATGATCATCGAATATCTTAATTTTTATTTAATTAAATATTATGTTCATGGATTATAACCACCTATACATAATTTATCATGGTATCAAAACTTACTGAGCCCATTACCCACTTCAAATTATCAATAAAATTGACTAAGATATAAACTAGTGTACAGAATGCTTCAAGTGATTCCGTTTTTAACCTGAATGTCTTAACAACGCTCCACAAAAAAAAAAAAAATCGTAAACTTAATCATTATTTCTCCATTTCTCAAGAAAACAAAAAACCTTAATTCTTATTAGTTCATTAAATATTTAAGTCAATTAATTTGATTCTTTATATACAAATTTATCAAATTATAMCCAACAACATTTTAACACTGTGTTTCAATTTTTGAAAGACCAGAAAAAACCTAAAACATATTGAAGTTGTTTTAAATTTTGGTAAAATGAGATTAGCAATTTTGAATATAATAAATCTTGAAGAAATTATTTTTAAATATTTTTCGWYYAATTTTAAGATCCAAGTGAAAAATTCTTAGTGATACTGAAAAATGATCTATTTTTTTAGTTGTAAAAATCCTAAGATCACGCTTCATATTAACCGCACGAAATAAATCGTTTTGCGTGGTCATTCAAGTAGGTACACCCAACAGTCAACATCCAATATTTAATATGGCTTGAAGAAATATAGCATGTTTCAACTGTCAAATATCATAAGTTTAGTCACCAAACTACCTAGGTTATAATATTCAAGTTTGCTTGAAACTTTCTCTCATAAAAAACGGACATATTCATACTAAATTGCACTTTAGGATCCTTGTCTAGTTTCTTAGCTACCAAAATAAAATTAGAAGAACTCCACAAATTCAAATATTTTTAAATTTTGAATTTTAAATTCAATACCAAAACTGTCAAGATTAGATTACACCAAGAGGTATTTTGCATACCCTCAAATGAGTCAAATGTTTGTTCGTTGTGAAGATGATCATCCCTAAAACTCTGTAAATATTATTAAATTGCCGTCTGTTAATGATTATACTCTAAGATAATGAGTTCAAAGTGGTGGAAAATTAAACGAGAGTTTTGTAAAACTAAGAATATATTTCATCATTTCATAAATTATTCATAACAACAACTCAACAATAATATAATTATCTAGCCAAAATTGTTTTACCCGCAGAACTGTCAATAATCATTATCGACGTTGATCAATAACTATCATAAAAATAAGCTATAGGTAGGTAATGACGGTGTTATTGTTTATAATACACCACCTACCTAAYACTTAACAGCCTTAGCAGTTTAACACACTAGTTGTAGTACCTTGTGAGCATAGCACCTACCAATTAGTATTTTTCATACTAGGATATGGGTTTCACAAAAAAAATATATACATATATATATATAAAAACGTATAAACCGATTTCTACGAATAGTAAAACCAATAGACGAAAAAAAAAATTGTGAGACACGTTGCACGTGGATGACGATTTATCTTTTATCCGTGTTCTATATATGACCCACTGATAATCAGGACGTGGGCTTAGGTATCTATCTAATATTTATTTTGTTTTCGACACACGCGTACTATGTACATATACGTATATTATAATACCACCACCGGCTGTATTTATATCAGAATCGGATAGTCTTGAACTATTGCGAGCACAAATATTATACGTAGGTATGTTATATTTATACCTATTACCTATGTAGTATTGTATTTTTTGTGAGTACACAGTACACCTAATACACTTTCAAGTATTTCGTTCAACAAATAACGTTATCGGTTTTCTCGTAAACTATTTCACAATACTATGTGTACGATACACCTACATATTTATTTACATACACGCATGAGTGAGCGTGTGTGTGTGAGCGAGTGAGTGCGCTAAATCATTTTTTATTGTGTGCATTGTGCAACGTCTTATTTGTTTTCTTGTTTTTTTTTTTTTACCTTCTTTGAACTACGACACATATGCATACGCAAAACGATACGATGCAAACGAGCGCCGAGGCGGCCGGTACGTATTTGTGCATCTGCGCAAAACTTGGTATGCTCAAGTCGTCGTCTTCATCGACTCCGCCGTCTTCACCGTACAAGTCCAACGGCACTATTCCTGAAAACATTGTCAGTCGATGATGAATGATATTGCCTAGGTATAGGTATAATGTTATAATATAATTATGTATGGGATAATACGGAATTGGAAGTCAATAATTGATCGGATCAGGAAACGATGATAATATGAATCATTCGGTCGAATGACGTCATTATTTTGTATAGTTGTTGTATAGCACGTTTTGCATACTTATGAAATTATTATTCAATGTGGACAGTGAACAGTAGGTAATAACGAGCAATATTAGAACTATGATTAGTGAGTAGTACAATTAGCGTTCGATGAGACTTGAAAAATAGTTATGAAAGTGGAGTCGGTATTTTTTTACAAAAAGTTCTGTTTTACGAATTATTGACTGATAAAATTAAAACAAACATTATAAAATACAGTTATTCATATACTAATGTATGGATACCGTAGACGGGAAAATCTCATAAAAACTATACACTCGTAGATCGCCATCCTACAATAAAAAAATACAAGTAGTATATTTTTAAAAAAATTCTAAAAAACTAGAGGTTTTAACTCGTATGTTATAACTTATAATTAATATGATAAATCACTTGAGGTAACTAATAATCTGCCTAGGTACCTGCATTAATTATTTTAACAGTTTAAAATTTTAGATGCATAACTGCACAAGTACTAAGACAGTAAAACGTATCTATAAGCATAATAATATAAAAGTCAACATAAATAATATTGTAATTTTTTCATAGCTTAGGTAGTATAGTATTATAGTATTAAATGATTTTCTCTAAACACAAGGTACCTAACTACCAACGGCAATTTCAATATTTGAATCAACACTTGAAAAATTAAGAGTTGAAGTGAAATGCAGTTTATAGATAGGGATGATTATTGTAATTATAGCTTTATTAAAACAACCAATTCATTTGGTATATATCTAATCTACACGTCTTAACAGCCACAGAATGCTTATAATATTATTATTATCGTAATTTATTTTTATCGGTTCAAATTAGAAGGAACACATTATTTCCTTTTTCTATAAGTGTGTCATAAGTCATAACATAATATTATTATCTTTATTTGAGGGCCAAATGAAACCATATAACGTCTCCTCATTTATCGGTCGTGAGGTAATGTCCTAATAACAATATATGTACTATTATTATACTTGTAATTGTATCGGCCCTATCGAAATATACTCTTAGAAAAACGGTATAGGCACTCAGGAAACGCGATATTCAACGACTCCGTTTACGATATACCTATACCTACATCAATCGGACGTATTTATTGGTTTTAACCATTTACCATCACTTGGTGGCGTGTGCAGGGATTTTGTTCGGAGAGGCGAAGTTCGTAAGTTTTCTCGGTCAAAAATAAATTAGGGCGTGGGAGTCYCATCTTTATTATRGGCGAGGGAGTCACGCCCCTGCGGACGAGGAAGAATGACATCTGCCTCCACTGTTGGCGGTCAGCCGCTTACCTCCGGTCTTTGTTCGGGTGGCAAATCGGTGCTCCCACGACGTGTCGCCGGCTTCGGTGTGCACGACCACGCGGACCGTGTAGACGGTGGCCGGTTGCAGCTGTCCAACCGTGAACGTGTCGCCRCCTGTCAGTTTTTGTCTGGGAAACTTGACCCACCCGCCGCCACGACCGTTGGCCGTGTACTGACACGTGAACGAGTGTATGCCACACATCTGGGTTGGCCACGAACCCAACATTAGCGTCACGCTGGTCGAGTTTACGGACAGCACGGCGTCCTTGTCAGGTTCTTTGGGCGCTGAAAATATTGTTTTTTTTTTCAGTTGGGCAATATAGTGGATCAGAAGAAGACATCGAGAGAGGAAATTATAATTCAATCGTTTGTTATAAAATCCAGTAATAACAGTGGATTTGGCCAATAGTGTTTGCCAATATCTTTTTATATCAAAGTCTCATTTTTTCTATTTGTATGTCGATTTATATTTTATTTTAACTATGAAAGCATGAAAAGCTACACGAAATTGAAAAATATGTTGATTGTATTTGTTCTAAGGGCTACTATTATGGACTAATTGGGACAAAATAAAATTTTTGAACGGTTTGTTTTGTTTTSWWTTCAATTTAATTTATTCCCTAGGAAAAATTAAGGTTCTATACACACATGTTATTTTATTGATTGAAAGCATAATCAAATGTAAAATGTTTAAATTTTGTCGGAAATGTCCTTATAATATGATAATGATCTTTACATGAACAGTTTTACAATCCTCCTTAGGGTTTTCTTACCCTAACTCTCCCATAGATTTGTTTTTAAATTAGCTTATTAAAAAATACAAYTCGTGTAAAATTGATATCCTGAAAGTTGTTTTTGAAGTATCGTATAAACATTATTATTGAGCAAACCATAGGCCTGTGCAGATTTTGTTCGCAAAGTATGCGGTTGATAAAATATTCCCCTCTCCCATAGATACAATATATAAATTACCCTAAAATTAATGTACATGACCTTTCATCTTAAACTTCTGGTTACCTACTAATTTTAATTAGAATAAAATTAGGTTTTTATCTTTTTTTGAATAAAAGTATTTTTATTTTTTTTAATTTGATGAGAAGCATTTTTTTTTACAAATATGTTCATTGATATGAAAATTTACGTTATACGYCATAATTGTTATAATTCAAGCCTTCTCTCATATCTACGCTGAAAATAATATCTATATTCCTTAAATTATTGAGAACCGTCCACAACGAATATTAGAAACAAGTCCATACTCCATATTTATATCGTATTATTAACATTTTATAACCACTAACTAACCAGTTGAAATTATGAACTAAGACATTTGCACCCAAGCGTCTGCACAATATATATATATATATATATATCTGCATATCCCGTGCGCACGCCTATGGTGCATTGGTGCAAACACTGAACTGTATCGAGTACTACGGAGTTAAGTCATCCTTCTCCCCGACTTGTATACCGTTTTCACTCATTATTGGTGTACATAAGATAAGAGTTTTGTTTTCAAAACACACTTTATAATTATTATATTTTTTAAATATCAGCGTTATGATTTAATAATAATAATAATAAAAAAAAATATCTATCAACGGAACAATATTATTTACCTCCACCTTTCGTGTACACTTCTACGACACGACCTACGTTGCTCATGCCGACCGTGTTCACGGTTTGCATGGTCACCGAGTATTTGGTACCGCACTTCAAACGTTCCACCGTGTACGCAAACCGGTCGGAGTCYACGTCCACACTTTTCTGCTGTTCGTTGCCGGCGTGGTARTTGAGCACGTAGGCTGTGGTCACGGCATCCGGCTGCTTGACCGGCTTCCACTGGACCCGGATGGAGCTGGTCGATACCGGATCTACGGTGAACTCGGGCGGCGACGGAGGGTAGAGTACGTTGACCGTGTACGATATCTGATCCCTGCCGAATATGTTCTCCACGTGGCACGTATAATTTCCCGAGTACGATTTGTCGACCACGGGACCCACGGACAGACTACCGTCGGGTAGCACCCTTTAAATGGACAAAAATCAATAACAGAGCTCGACGAGGTACACAATCATGTCGTGGGTCGAGGCAGCTACTCACTTGGTCTCGACGTCGTCAGGCGCCTTCCACACGACGACGGGCGTCGGCATGCCCACCCTGTAACACTCGATCGTGTACTTGGACCCGACGACGGTGTTCACGTGTTCACCGAACGACGCCACTCTGGCTGGTGCTGTTTACGGACAKGGAGGTGTTTTAAAATTATGTACATCCATTTAGACGTCTGCTGCATAATAATAAACGCACATTGTGCGTACAGCTGGATATGCTTACCTCTGGAATTTGGACTCTGGCTTACCCGGAAACTCGGTTGMCCCTCACCAACCACGGTCGAAGCGGTCACCCAAAACTCGTACCGTTGAAATTCCTTGAGCCGCCTCACCTCAATCTTCGTACTCTTATCACCGAATACGATTTCCTTTTCAACGATCTAGAAAYCATCGGAATTCTWTGTATCAGCTATACCCTTGCAGCCTACAAACGATTTATCCACTGTTTACCTTGTTATGTTTTACGTACACSGTGTACTTGATAATCACGCCGTTCGGCCTCTTCGGTTGCATCCAAGACACGAGAATGCTACTGGATGTCACCGTCAGTGCTTTTACGTTGTCCGGAGGTCCGGGGACTGCAATAGACGATGTTTTAAAACTTATAACTACGTTACCTGCAGCGGCAGCTTTAAATGATATTACTACGACTTACCGTCTTGATCGGTTAAGCAATAAACAGGATTTGATTGTACTCCTTCACCCACTTTTGTGTACGCCAAAATCCGAACGCTGTAGTTAGTGTATTTGTCTAGAGCATGCAGGTTCGTTTCCAAATTGGTCGTTTTTTTCATTTCGTTTAAGACAAACGACCCTGRAAGTTCAATACACTACCGTTAAACGGTCGTTTATTGCCGTATATAAAAATAATTTTAAGGGGGGCCGGGGGGAGGGAGGGGGAGGAAATAATATTCTAAAATTATTGTAGCATTATTATTACCATTTCATATATAACAAAAAATACTTTGGATATTTTTTATTTTAAATATATAACTAGTTAACTAGCAATATACCATGCATTGCAGGTACATTGTATTAGATATCYCATAATTTTGTCTYATGTTGTAACGAGTGACTATGTTTTTACTTCGTTAATTATGATTTAACTTTAGAATAATAGCAGGTGGTTGTAGTTTGGCGTTTAAATTATAACTATAATATGTAAGTAGGTTGTTAGTGGACAATAATTGGGATTTTTTCTGTCTAAATATAAAAAAATTGCTACGTTCACTTAGTAGTCATTAAGTAGTCACTAATTATTTTTAATGTCTTTTCTATATGTATACATAAAGGGAAACATAGCAATTTTAATTTTTTATTAAAAAAACTTATTTGTTTAACCATTTTTAGGAGAACATAAAAGGACCAATGAAAGTCTCCATTTCCTGATTTCATCGGCGCTTATACAATATTTATTTTTGTACCTGATTTGGGATTCACTTTTTTATAGTGTATTTTGTATCCTAATATAGTGCCATGATGGCTTTGCATGGGCGGTGGATCCCAGCTCATTCGCAACGACTCTGCCGTCAACGGTGAACACTGAACGTTTTGTGGTGGTTCTTCTGGCACTAAACGACATTTTTAATTGATTAGTGTGCGTTTTCAAACCAACAGTTAACAAGTTCATTTCAAACATTATTGTTTTACCTCCTTCGTTGGTCGTGATACGTATAAAATCAGAATCTGGCCCGGGTCCAACGCTGTTGAAAGCTTTCACTGCAATCCTGTAAGTCGTAAATGGTTTAAGGTTGGTGATTCGAATTTCACATCGTTCATAGCCAAGGGTTGTCTTCGTGAAGACTTCTGTTATTTCGTTAACATCTGCATATGATACTTTGTAGCAAGTTAATTTGCCATTCCATGTGTCTTTATCTGGAGGCTAACAAACAAAATGTTTTACAGAAATATTTTAGAGAAAAACATTTTTATATTATTCACGTTTAATTATGTGTTTTATGTATAAAATCCTGATCAATCATTTACTAAAATTGCTTTAAAATAATAGTTTCCTAATGTATATGGACAAAAGAGACAACATTTTCACTTAAACATTGTCATATACCTATAGTAAATTGTATGCTGATAAATAAATAAATATTATATAAAAAAAATATRTGCCCAATGACTTTGATTACCTATATCACTATTTTAGAAGCATGTCATATGTTTTTAAAGATTGAAAGCATTAATTATGTCGTTAAAAATAAATAAGATTATTTTTTACATTTAATGTATATAAAATTTCATATTAAAAATTGCAAAARATTTTTTCATAAAATACATATTAAATTTTTCCTTTCGTCATTCATCGATAAATGTTACCAACAAAAARWTTAATTTTGCTATAAAATAGTAGACACTAAATATGCAGAAGCATTTTTAAAAAATATGAGAATATTCGAAACATTACCTATAATGTGCTTATTAGTTACTACTAATATACTTTTGACTACAATGAGTAAAATTTCATGAAAAAATACTATTATGTGTTCACTTGTCAGTTAGCATATATTATATTTGATAAACAACTAGAAAACATTATTCAAATGTATTTAAATCTAGGCTCTAGGCAGTCTAAGCTTCTAGGGTCTAGACAGATAAGTTATTACTGATAATACGAACAAATATATTTTAAGGTTGATTAAATAATAGGATTATAATTATTTAAGGATGAAAAATAAGTTTTAAAGTGAATTGGAAAATTAAAAGCTATCAACACTTACTGTTAACGAACAGTTTTGGTATTCTGATACTTAAAATTTTTTGTAATATTATCATCAATGGTTTTGAGATTTTATATTTTAACAGCTATAATAATTTAAAAATTCTTTTTTCCTAACTTATAAAAGTAATATAGTCCACCATTTTTTTATACGGACTGTGGGGAATAATTATTTATCATTGTTTTACCTTTTATTTATGACCATAGATGAAGATCGAAAATCATAGAGTAGTACTTTGTTACTTTATGTCTAAAAGATATGTACTATCATCAATGGTCTACTTGAGGATCATGATATACGTGTACTAGATGAAGCTAGTACGTCAGAGCTACGAGTGTCACTTATATTTTTTATATTGCAATCTAATAAAATAATTTTATGCATTTATGTACAATTAAAATCATGTTTCTTCTTAAAAATTCTTATTATGTCTCTATTCAAAGCAAATATATTATATSTGTATTATAATTTTGTTGGTCGTAAATATAATTTTATTCTATCTAACATTTCCATTTGATACGTTAATCTATTCAATTAATGTGTACTTACTTTCCATCGAATTGTCACTTGATTTGTATCAATATCAATGGCTTCCACATTATTTGGAGGTGCACTCGGTTCTGAAATAATAATTTACAATAGTATTCGAACAAGTAGTTCATTAGTTATTACTTATTATTAAAGAAGAATTTGTGTGAGTTGGAGAAGAATAGGAGTAATTTACCATCTTCCAGAGTGGTGACAGTGTTGTTGGGGCTAGGATTGCTTGAACCGAAATCATTGACGGCGATAACTCTTGTCGTGTACTGCGTGGCGGGTTTTAAATAAGATATTTTAGTGTACGATAAACTTCCACCAATAGTGTAATTTGACCAATCCGAACAAAGATTAATACACATCTGAAGAACATAATGAGTCACGTGCGTTTTTACAGAATCCCACCGAAATTCTAGCCACCTAGTACCCGCGTCCACCACATCTAACTGCTTTGGAGCTTCCGGTGGCTCTG